TGTTGTTTTATCTTCCGGTTAAGTTTTATGCTTTTAGTAAATCTGTATGCAATATTTTAGAATTATCAACAATTTAAAAGTTGTTTAAGTGCGCTAAGCCTAATAATTTTTTTTTGATGGCGGCCCATTGCTTGTTTACATTTGAAACGCAGTGTGCGGATTTGTTGCCATTTAGAGAAAAAATAACAACAAGATAACGCCTTCATTTATTATTGCAATTAAATCATGCTTAATCCTTTCAGGAATTTTTTCGAGGGAAATAAGTTTAAGATTTACTTAATTTTTAATAATTTAATAATACAGATATTTTGAGTTTTTTATCTTTTGCTTTGTCGCGAAGGGAGAACTGAAGTAATTAATGAGAAATGTGAATCGTCTGTGAAAAACTTTTTTTTTTTTTTTTTTTTTTTTTTTTTTACGTCTTGTCGAGTAAAAAGGAAGTATTGTAATCGCGAAAAGTTCAGGCAGCATATTTCAACGAAAATATCCATTTTGACCGCTATCGAATGAATTTTAACGATGTTTTCGCGTGATACTGTACGTAAGGACAAATAAAAGACTTTTCCTCCAAAAATTATAAAACTGCTTAAAATGAATTCTGAAGAGAATTTTTCGTGGCCCGTCTGTACGAACGTGCGTGCGTAGTTACGTATCTCGCATAACTCAAAAACGCTAGCCTCAGAAACGTTGAAATTTTGTATATAGGCTGCTATAACATGTAATGTGCACCTCGTTTGGTTGCAAACGGCCGCACCAAACGTATATAAAACTAATTTATATATATATCCACTCTGTTATCCGCACAGGATCTCAGTTTCTTTCTCTTATAGTTTGTAAATTGTACATTTTTTGATTAAAAATGATGAATTATGTGTTTTATTTCTGGTTAAAGTTTTATGCCTTTTAATTCTGGAACATTTGTACAAATCAATAATTTAAGCTGTTTAAGTGTGGTTAAATTTAAATAACATGTGGACTATTTGTTTACATTTGAACAGCAGAATTGTAGATTTGTTGCCAAATAGAGAGACTAACTTCGGAACAACAAAATAACGCCTTTTTATTATTGCAAATTAATCATGCTTTATCCTTTCTTAAATTTTTTCGAGGAAATAAGTGTTAAGTTTACTTAATTTTAATAATTAGTAATTTTTATACATATTTTGAGTTTTATTTTTTGTCTTGTCGCGAGTGAAACTGAATTAATGAATGAGAAATACTCATCGTCTGTGGAAAACTGTTTTTTTTGTTTGGTTTGCTTAATTTCTTTTATACATCTCTAGCTTTATTATAATTGAAAAGAACATTGGCAACGATTATAATTCTTTAAATGATATCATTTTGCTTCTGAGTTATAATATGTATGAAATATAATACTGTTAAGTGAACTAGTGCCGAGGTCGCGTATTAAACAAAGAGTGAATTAAATGAATGCCTTTTCTATGTGGTTTATGCGCTGTCGGCGAGTAGATTTAATTAACCAATAAGTTTAAAAACGAAATGCAAGAACAAAATGCGTATAATAAATTCCGTACAAGGAAGTCATGTGGTGTACACATCAATTTTTTTTTTTTTTTTTTCTATAAAGGAAACAACGTAACGAATTACATAATTAGAAATTCGTTCCCTCCCTAGGAGAATCGCCTTTCTGGTGAGCTATTTCGGATTCAAGCTAATCTAACTCTAATCCTTTATGCTCTAACCCTGCGTCCTCTCCACCATCGTTTCGTTCTAGGGACAACGGGCAAACCTTAAGCTTTTCTATTCCGTATTATTGTTACTGTTAAATTAGTTGGATTAGATATATGAATATGGAAAAAACAGGAGGGCTACCTGCTAGGAAAGGTGCTTCGTGAAGACGTTTAAAGGAAACTGGCTCGTATTCACGTTACAGATGAGGAATTCCATGAAAACAAGTCATGTAGACAGCCCGTCCGCCTGGGTCTGAACCCAGGCAAGATCGAACTACCAGTACACCAGCGGTCTTAATCACTCGGCCACTGCTGAGGACATTTGCCTGATTATTTCCTATATGTTTCGCCGTTAGGGTCTGCATGGAAAAGGAGGAATATTCCGTGGAAAAAAACTTTGTTAGGGAAACTGGCTCGTATCTATGTTACACACGGGGAAAATCCCGGAAATGCTCATACAGCCAGCCCATACACCTATACTTGACCCTCGGACCGAACTACTAGTGCTCAGCTGCGTTTATTGCTCAGCCACTAATGGGACCACTGCATACAAAATATAGGGTATTGCCGAAAGGAAGTATTCTGAAACGATTATACAGAATATGGGCCATTACTGGAGTATTCGTGTTCCTGTTGTTTTTCATACTTCCTATTTCATAAGTAATTTTAAGTTCTACCTGCTTAACGCTATTAAATATCACGGAAGTAACGAAAATTAAATTTTACACTGAAGCCTTTATTCTGCAAACAGGCATGGATCTCATTTTTGATCTGCGTTGATTTTCGGTTGCAATCGCGAGACTTGATAACGCTCTTGCTACCGATGATCGTAGTTTTTATATGCTAAACTCGATCTGACAGGTTGAAGTGTTCGTGATTCTTCCTCAAACAGTTCATAAGATTGCTTTCTGTGTTTTGAATTTTTTATTTGTCAGAATGAAAACTGCAATTTTTCGGCTACTGTTTTAGACTCTTGTATCCAATATTCCTAGATTCTTCATTTCCTTAGTTTTGGTCATTCTTTCGTTAACTAACGAACGCGGAAGAGGAATTTCTTTTTAATTTTTATTTACTCGATTGAATTCTGGAAAAATATTTGCTCAATTTTAGGTTGAGAAATTCAATTTTCACAGCATGTAAGGATGCCTACCTCTGCTTTGATTCGCATCAGAAATATCTTTAATTTCTTTAGATATTTGCATATTCCGGTAAATAATTAGAAGGACTTCAACAGCCACATTTTTCGACCATCTCGTCTGGCTGCTTCTTTTAAGTTGTATTTTTTTTTTTAAATAATATACTGTCGAGTAGTGCATCCGACAAATAAAGCGAAGTTATTTTCTGAGTAATTCCAAACAGATTACTGCTTCCGGACCGAAGAATCAGAATGCATACTTACAAATACGAGGAGTGAGCCAAACATGGCACAAATTCATCCACTTTTCATTTCTGTAATTTAGCTTTACTGTTAGAAATGCCAGCATATTAGACTTTGTCGTAAGACTGACACCGACATTGTCAATAACTAAACCACAAGTGTCAATTAAGAAAATTTCCTTCGCTAGGTCGAGGCCCATCCAGATATATAGAATTTTTCTCATTTTTCTTCTCTGTAGGAAGAGTCGCTCAGTGTCGTGATCGATGCTTGGCACGATTTTATTGTTGTACTCGAATTTTCCACTTAATCATGCACTCTGTGGATCCAGACGCTTCCGCTCAGTTAAATTGCTAAACCTTTTTCTATTAATGAATCCTGTGATGGTATGGAAGCACCTGTTTCTGATAATCTTGCAGATGTTCAAATTTGCATTTTGTTTTGAAATGTAAACCAGATCTAAGCTTCATTATTTACTAATGTCTGTATTACATGTCAAAGTGCATCAATTCAAGGGATTGAGGTTTACGTTTTTACTGGATGTTTACCGGCTAATAATCTGATTGACTGCTTAGAAAGATTGTTGGTGACTGTTCATTTTTTTCTATGGAACCAATTGCATCGTCCGACATAAAAAATTTTAGTTTTATCCTTCTGACCCGGCCACCATACAAATGAACATTCTTTATATCATGGTTCATGTTCCCACTATTCGTTTAGTCGAGAAAAGATTTTCTTTCAAATGCTAAATTGTAGATTGTTTGGGATATGCGTCATGTTTGTCAAGAATATTAATTCCCTAGATCGAGCAATCGGAATTGCGGCAGGATCTGACGGTTTATTTTCCGTGAAGTTTTTCATCTTAGCTGAATTTGTTTCGTTGGCTTATCTTTGGCTCGTTTTCGGTTCGTTTTCTCCCCTCGACGCGCAGATGGTTCCTTATCTAAATGAATTCACTATGAATTACCTTATAAGAAAACTAAGAATTGCATAATACACTGAACAGTCTAAATAGTGGTTGTGTGTCGCTAAATATAGTGCGGGCTATTAAAAGAAGAATATCTTAAAAAAAAAAAAAAAAAAAAAAAAAAACCCATGGAAATAAATCTAGCTTTAAAATCCAACATGCGCTCTCCGTTCGAGTCAAACCAAAGGTGAGCCAAGTTGCAACTGGCTGCAAAAATTTAAATGCCTTGCTCAGCTTGAAGACATAATAGCTGTGTCTTGTATATACTCATGAATATTAATTTGAATTATTTTCATTTGTTACAGGATGGCCAAAGTTATTTTTGGGTTAGCTCTTAAAAAATAGTTACAATGCTTCTCCAGACGTTGCTATGGGAACCAGGTGACTTCTTCAACAATCTATCGTTCTATTTATTATTTGAATACGCCCGGCCTAGACAGCAAATGATACAGGGACTCCAGATGTTACTGATAGGGTCAGTCTGATTCTATCAGCAGGCGCGTAGCCAGGGGGTGCCCTGGGCGCTCGGGCACCCTCCCACTTCACCACTACCTATATTTAAAGAAAGTGCTAATTAATCTTCAATAGATAAGACGTGTTTAAAATATAGCTGCGTAATACTGTACTCCTTTGTACGATGAATTCCGTGGGCTTGTTCTGAAGATATCAAACCAGGGAGGTTAGTCCCAACAACAACAACTTAACTTATTTAGACTTAAACTAACGTTATCCAAAATTTCTAGAGCTTGGACTCGTATCGGATTAAAAAGGTTATTTATTTTACATCCTCAATTTCTGTCTAGGATATTAACAAAACTTCAGAATTTTCATTTTGGATCTAAACTCTAGTGGGGAATTTTAAAATTTCTTGTAAAATTAATTACTTACATTGTCATGTAATTATTATTTGATTTTCATTCAGGAAACTGTAAAATAATGTGAGATATGTTAACAAGGAATAACAGAATTTAGTGCATTCAATAAAATATGAAAGCTTTATTGTCAGATTAAGACAAAAACTTTAAAATAAATCAAAATGTATTAAAAAAAGTATAGCAAATAATATTTCATTATTGAGAAAGTACAAGGGATAAGGAAACATTTTCCATTTCATCAGATTAATATTCCTCTTCTCCTTCCTCTTCTGCGCCTTCAGTAGAATCGATGCCAACTTCTTCGTAATCCTTCTCCAGAGCTGCGAGATCTTCACGCGCTTCAGAAAACTCACCTTCTTCCATACCTTCGCCGACATACCAATGCACAAAAGCCCGTTTTGCGTACATCAAATCGAACTTGTGATCGAGACGAGCCCATGCTTCAGCAATAGCTGTGGTATTTGATAACATGCACACTGCACGTTGAACTTTGGCCAAGTCCCCTCCAGGCACTACTGTGGGCGGTTGGTAGTTGATGCCAACCTAAGAAAAGTGATGAAGAGCTATGAGTATAGTATTTATTAAAAGACATCAAGCCGTAATAAATTCTATAAACGTTTATTATGTTTCTGCTGCTTCAGTGGCGTAGTCAGAGGTTTTGCTGCCGGGAAAGATCTTTAAGTTGCGCCATTCTTGATACACAAGCAATAAAGTAAAAAATGTGAAAATGACATATGCAGAAATAAATTTAAGCTCTATACATTTCAGTTCCACCATCTGAAACTGAAACGCATATTATTATTTTATTTGATTTTCTGTTTACGAAACTATCATTGATACTGCAGAGGTCTATTTCTTTCCTCCAGTTGCTGTCATGTAGATAGTATGGGAAGATTCTTAAATACAAAATATGCATTTGTGATTCTAAAATATTCCTTAAATTATATTTATTTAGAAAACCCTTCTTGCAACTACGAGTACTTTCAGCAACTCTGAGGAAAGTTCGCAGTAGTACTATAATATTTAAAATTTTACTATGGAAATTGTATTTTAGAATAAACTGCAAAAGCTCAAAAAGACTTCCTTCCACGTCTCAGTTTCATTTCCCCAATCAGTAGTAGAAATAAAACCCTGAAATATTTCTCCCTTAAATATTTCGACGGATGATGGTCCCTTCGACGGATGATGGTGTGACCCATCTCGCTTGTCTGATATCACAGTAAGCCCACGAAATTCATGGTGGTAAAGAGGTAGGATTCCACTTGTCGTTGGGAACATCCTTTGGCAACATACAGATGACAGTACGACTTTGCTCAGTGCCGCCCCGAATTTTGAAAGAGGAACTGTCCTCCAAGGGAACAGTTCTAAGGGTCTCCCACCTCCTCTTCCCTTACCACCAAACTCTCGTGAGGACTTGCGGCGCTTCGCACATTTAGAGTGCCCATGCCACACAGACACTATACATTTACAAGCATCTATGCTTTTTCCGAGATTCGAACTCGGGCCCTTCGTGCGGTACTCAGCGTCGTTAGCCACTGTACTAGTTGGGCGGCTTAATGGATGATAAAAAATGAACGTAGTTGTTGAAATCTTGTAGTGATTCCTTTTTCTAATCTTGTACTGAGGGGATTTTATGCAGAATAAAAAGAATTTTTTCATCTAAGTTTAGTTTCATATGGCAATTCAGGATCTCGTTATTCTTCACCTGCTTTAATGATCTATATCATCCAGAAAACTATAGAATTTATCCAGAGAAGAGTTATATAAAATTTAGCGCGTCTTCCGATTAAATATCTAATGCAAAATATCTAATGCAAAATGAAGCAGAAAGAGCATACACATACTACATTCGAAATTATCTTTCTTTAATTGTCTCTTATTCATAAAAATTTTGTACTGTATCTAGTCTCATTTTTAATTATCTGTGGCATTTTCATAAATGAACTTTTAAAATCCTAGTTAGAAAAACGGGAGAGAGAGAGAGAGAGATAAATTATATACATGTTTTTCTGTAGTCGGTTACATATCCTTTTTGTTCACATGTACTCTTTCGCACAGCAGATGAAGCAGTATATGATCCACTTTTGCGAAACATGAAAGTAAACGATTATCATTGAGATTTTTTTCCACTCATAATTGAATAAATTCTTCCAAAAACCTGAGCTATAAATATGAGCATGCTTGATATATACCTAAAACTTCTAAAAATATTAATTTATAATTGCTATTTAGTAAGTAAGTAGCTATTTAATACTGATTGAGTACGCTATTTATAAGTGTGAAAAAAATTTTCAAAACTATATTTGAAAGTATTTTAAATTTGCTGGTATTACAGAAAGAATAAACTAAATATACATTGCGATTTTTAATCCAAAAGGGCTGTTAGTCTCGAAATGGGATTTTGCATCAAATCACTATAAATACTTCTTTTCACTTTTCATTCGAGTCTGTTTCCATTCGCCAAATGTATGTATGTGTGAATGCAATGTATTTATATTTCAAATTGTATCTGTCTACTGTGGATTAACAAACTAAATTATTTGCAAGCAACAGATGCATTTCTGAAGAATATTCATTTCTTACATTTGAATCGGATTCATTTACACATTAAAAATGCATTTAATTTACGATTAGTCTAATTAAAAATATTCAGCATTTTCGCAGAATGATTACGTATTTTTTATTATTTAATTCATATTTTGTAAAACTGTAATGCATTTTTGATGAATAAATTAACAATCTGAAAGCGAGCACTGAATGAAATAAAACATTTTTATCTGCAGCGCAGAGACTATCTATCGGAAATTCTAAAGATATGCTGTTTTTAAGTATTTTGGGAATTTGCTGCTGAATTAAATTTTATGTTTCTTAAGTGCGAAGAACATGGTATTTAGTAAATAAAGATAACACAAAGGCCGTTAATAATAAAAAGACAAAAAAAAAAAAAAAAAAAAAAAAAATCGTAAGCTACCTTACTAAGAAAACTAAACACTCATATGAACTGAGAAAAAACTTAATATATATATATATATATATATATAAAGAAAGGAAGCCAAAATTTAGGAATTCTAGACGTATGTTGCTATACTGCTTTTAGAATTTTGGGGATTTTGCTATTGAATTTTATGTGGTCCAAGTGCGAAGAAAACAATTCTTAATTATGTTAACGAACTCGAAATGTTATGCAACAAAGTATCCAGTCCAGTACTATAGCTGCTTATCCAAAAAAATTGTAAGTCTGAGAAAAAGGATTGCATTCAGCTGACTGAATTCGCTCTCCTGCGTAATCAAAATAATTGGCAAGCGTTCAATGGGGTTATCTGCAAGTAGGAGGAAGAGAATCTCTTCCGCTTAGTTTGCCAAGAGCAAAGAACTGTCGTTATGAACGTGCGTCAAAGTTTCAATGAACTGAGTCATATTCTGCTATTTTATGAAAGTTCAAGTACTAGTCCGAAGTGAAATATTCACATTATCTTTATTATTCTCCTCTCTGCTGAGGGCCGAATACAGCTCGGAGATGAATTTACTAAGTGCACATTGGTACACCAACCATGAAAGTGGTTTCTAAAATGGACCTATGGTTTTCAACTGCTAAATTCGTTGACGTGATGTTTAAGAGAACTCGTGAAAGATTTTCAGTTATAAGTGTTATGAACAAAAAACTTTTATGCAAAACATGTCTTTTATCTAATTGAAGTCTTTTAATAGTGTTTGGCTTTGTAGTTTTATTAGAGCTCAATATTTTCAGTTCCCCCCCATCAGTTTGTTTATGAGCTTTTTATATCGTATTATTTATATCGATGAAATTATTGAATATAGAAAGCACCTGTTGCGCTAAAATAAAATCTCTTTCTAATTTTCATTAATAATCAGAAGTATTCTGATAAATTTGGTTTCATCAAAAGGAGAAAGACGAATTCATTTTCTATAGATCTATGAATATTTCTAAATTCAGTTAATCAGATGCTGAAATTTTCCAGTACATCGCTGTAATTTTGATTAAGGGGCAATTTAAACATTCGCCAACAACATTTTTTCGTCTATTACAAATCGGAGCAAAATTCTCACAACAGAATTTGGCAATTACAAACCCATTAGCTCAATGTCGGAAGCTCCTCCCACGGTTGCGATAACAGTGTACAGTTAGGAAATCCGAGACCGGAAGAAAATAACATATGACATGAGACATAAAAAGAATCAATATGCGTATATAAGATACATGAAGAAAAGATGACTTATTTCGAGAACAGTACTCAACCGCGTATTCTTTCTGCTGTGTAATTTCTCACCTGGTAATTTAAGAATATTGTAAATTTCATAGTGTAACAACGAGTATGTATAACAGCGTGTTAAAATGCAATGTAACCAGGATAATGTTTAATTTCAAAGCTAGTTTTGGTAAGGGTCATATGGGGGACATGACTTCCCAACCACGATCCAATAATTTAATACGTGTTGCTAAATATGTGTGAGGCCTCGCATTGTCGAGGTGGAACACGGTTCTTTTGCGATTTGCCAATTCTGAGCTTTTCTCTTCGATTGCTTCCTCCAGTTTCAAAAGTTATTGGCAGCAAACATCTCAGTTGATCGTTTGGTTGCTTGGAAGTAGCTCTCAATGCAGAACATCTTTTCAATCCACCAAACTGACAGCATGATCTTTTTCAGATGCATTCTAGATTTCGATATGATTTGCGCTGATTCATCTTTCTTGGACTATGACCTTTTTCGATTAATGTTTATCGTAGATAATCCATTCTTGATCACCAGTGAAAATTCATTTAAAAAAAGGTTGATTGCATTGTGTTTGAAATGTGCGTTGAAAATATTAATTCGTTGGTTTAAAGTGAATTTCTTTGAATTCATGTGGAACAAAAATATCGATGAATCCAAGATATCTTATGTGATTCTCATCGTCGACTTCAGAAGGTTGGTCAGAAAGTTAGTCATCTTCAAGTGAAAGATCTCCAGAATGAGTTTTTTAAACCAGTTCTGACACCTGCATTCTGTTAAGCAATCATCATAAATTTCACATATTTCTTTGTGAGCCTTAATCACTTTCTTGCCTTTATGAAAATAAAAAAGTAAAATACACTGGTCATCATTAATTAAGAAAAAATCACAAAAATGACGATTACTCAAAAAGTTACTTGTAAAATTTAATGAAATTGAACCACAGTATACAAATAATAAGGTAACATAATAAGGTATAAAGTAACATGAAAAGAAATTACCAGATAAGTATGGTGTTATAGAAATTAGCGTATATATAAAATGAACAAATTGGATGTGTCAATTTGGTATAGGAAAATTACCTTCAATATGGCTTGTGGACTCCTCTAGAAGCAATAGAGCACACACAACCATGTGTGATGCTGTCAATTATGTGGTCTACCAGTTCTGTAGGAAATGAGAATCATTGTTATTGCAAAGCAGTTGTAAGCGTGGCAAGGGTCCGAAGAGGGGGATTGACAGTAGCTATACATTTTCGTAAAGTATCCCAAGCATGCTCGATTAGGATTCAGGTCCGGTGATCGAGCTGGTCACTCCATATGTTGAATTGTTTGCTGCTGAAGATAATTATCCACAATGTAAGTCGTGTGCGATCTAGCGTTGTCGTTCTGTAGCAGGAAATCATCACCTATTGTCAGGCTGCGCACATAAGTATCAAGGATGTCATCTCTATAGGCGTTCACTGTTTCACGTAGAATAATATGGAGATCTCTGCGTCCACCCAAAGAGATATCACCCCAAATACAAACACTATCACCTCCGTATGCAAATCTTTCATTGATGTTTGATGAATGATGACGAGTTTCAGGTTCTCTCTAAATCAAATAACGCCTACAACCGCTTTGGAGGCTAAATCTGGACTCATCAGTAAAAAGTGTCTCCCTCCATTGTTCAACCATGCAGTAAGCATATGACGTGTCCACCTCAAACGCTCCCTTATATGACGTGACGTGAGCGTCATGCAAATGGTTGGTCACCTCGCGTACAGATCTCCTTCGTGAAGCCTGCTATGCGGTTGACGTTCACATCAACATTCCCGTGGCTGCAGCAAAGGAGGATCTGAATTGAATCGGAGTGGCGGATAACAGCAAATATTAGACATCGGCGCACGTCGTAGCGGTTGGCAGTCCTTGGCTGAACCTCCTGAATGTTTAATCTGCTGTTAGAAATTATCACCAAAGTTTACGAATCACAGGACTCGCATTTAGCTGTCTTCTGTCTGACCTTTCTCCTGCCTCTAGTCTCCCAGTAGCTTTCCATCGCAATTTTTCCGCCAAATGATGCTTGGAGATCATTGTTACAAATTGGCTACGCCAGATTTCGTATTTCAGTACAGCGGAATTTGTGGAATTTCTGTCAAACATGCAATTTTATGCTCTTCGCAGATGACATAGTCCGATTGCAGTTTTGCTCAGCAAGTTTAACTTGACAACATATTCACATTTTATACGGATTATTTTATTTTTGATTGAGTTATAGCTATTTTTGTGATTTTTCCTTAATTTTTGGAAACTAGTATATGTTAAAATGGTTATTTTTGCACTCCATGTTAAAATTAAAAGTAAAATTACAGTTGTAAACAAAAATGCACAAAATTTTTTTCCGATAGCAACCTGAAAGTATCAGCAGCGAAATCTCAAAAGAAAAAAAGGATGCAAGTTTGTCAGAAGAATAAAACATAACGCTATCTATTTGTACAAACCGAAATTACTTTCTTTCGAATAAATGTTACGAAAAATATCAGTTAATTTTACATTTATTGGATGAATATATAGAATGGGTAACGTTTAAAGAAATATGAAACAGTTGAAGAAATGATGTAACGAATTATGGTTTTAAAAATGAAAATATTTGCTAATTATAAATATACTTGATAAATATTTCTTACTTACTTTAAATCCGGTTGGGCACCAGTCGACAAACTGAATTGAGCGCTTTGTCTTAATGGCAGCAATAGCAGCATTCACGTCTTTGGGTACTACATCACCACGGTACAGCAAACAGCAAGCCATGTACTTCCCATGCCTTGGATCACATTTAACCATTTGGTTGGCAGGCTCAAAACAAGCATTTGTTATTTCAGCTACAGTTAATTGTTCGTGATAAGCCTTCTCAGCTGAAATTACTGGAGCGTATGTCACCAGTGGGAAATGAATTCTGGGATATGGAACTAGGTTTGTCTGGAATTCAGTTAAATCGACGTTCAAAGCTCCGTCAAATCTGAGAGAGGCAGTGATGGAGGAGACGATCTGTCCAATCAATCGATTCAAATTTGTATACGTTGGCCGTTCTATGTCTAGGTTCCGGCGGCAGATGTCATAAATGGCTTCGTTATCGACCATAAACGCGCAATCAGAATGTTCTAGAGTAGTGTGCGTTGTAAGAATTGAGTTGTAAGGTTCTACAACGGCTGTTGACACCTGCAAGAAGAAATCAGGTTTTTTTAAGCTTTAAGCATATATGCAGATGCAATCTGAATGATTGAAGTTAAATTTGTATCCATTAATTACAATTAAAATGTTGTATTATAAGCCTGAAATGGTTAAGTATAATGCAGCTTCTTTTTTAGCACCATTGGTTTAAATAGTGGTCACCTTTGTATTATAAGTATTTAAACACTTTAAAAATATGCAGGAGATAATAAATTATATTAATATGAATTTGGGCATTAATGTTTTAGAAATACACAAAGGAAAGCTGCATTTAATTTAAATAAAAAATTTTCATTGTGTGAGTCATTTATAATGCAAATTTAATTTTAATTAGTAGTTATGTTTTGAGTAGTTACTTTAAAACTGCTAAAGGGGGATTTAATTTAATATGACGGCGAAAATTATTATCTATTTGCCCTAACAGAGTTGTGATTTTGTTATTAAACATTTTAATTCTAGTTATTATAAGAATAAACAGAGTTAGCCCAATGTAAATATACAAAAGAATGAGAAATGTAAGTTTTGTATTAGTTGCAATTATATTATACTCCCGAAATGAATAATGAACAGCCATTTACTTCATCCTAAAATTCTTTGTTAATGTACACACATCATTCTTTTAAAATGCCTGATAATTATGCGTAGAAGAGTCAACTCCATTTTACTAAAGTTTTACTCTATCATAATTTAAGTTAATCGGTTAAAGTTAAAAATATCGCAGATCGTGATAGCGCATACATACATTGTGTTATTTTGAAAGATTACATTTGCATCTTAAAGCTGTAATTTTATAGAGCGGTACTTTAAGTATTTATCAGTAAAGAACTTAATAACTTTTATGTAGCGATTACTTTGTATGTTTCTCAATGGATGAACACGTAATCTAACATGAAATACCAACCTGAGGTGCTGGATATATAGCGAATTCCAGCTTTGATTTCTTTCCATAGTCGACTGATAGTCTTTCCATAAGTAAAGATGTAAAGCCAGATCCTGTGCCACCACCAAAACTGTGGAAGATTAGGAATCCCTGAAGTCCAGTGCATTGATCCGCAAGTTTTCGTATTCTGTCTAAGACTAAATCTACGATTTCTTTGCCTATAGTATAGTGACCTCTGGCATAATTGTTGGCTGCGTCTTCTTTTCCAGTGATGAGTTGTTCAGGGTGGAAAAGCTGTCGGTATGTACCAGTGCGGACTTCGTCAACCACAGTAGGTTCAAGGTCTACATAGACAGCTCGAGGTACATGCTTCCCTGCTCCAGTCTCGCTGAAGAAAGTGTTGAAAGAATCATCACCTCCTCCAATAGTTTTATCACTTGGCATCTGGCCGTCGGGTTGAATGCCATGTTCCAAACAGTACAATTCCCAACAAGCATTGCCGATTTGCACACCAGCTTGCCCAACATGTATACTAATACATTCACGCATTTTGGAAAGTTATTGAAGAATAGCTGAAAGAAAAAATAACTTTTTATTAGCTTATGTAATAACCTGATATTCTAAGAAACTGAGAATAGTAATCCCTGAATTAAAAAAACTATAAATCTAGTGCATTTGGAACATTTTAGTAAAATAAACAATTGCCAGATCTGCTACTTTATACAATGTTACAAATCTTTCGAAAACACATAAGAAATTTAGTCTTTAAAACGAAATTTTGCAACCTAAATTCTCGGTTTTTGATTTTACTCTACAGTCATTAATAATATGAAAAGCAAGGGTTGGAATAGTATTAATATTCTTTAAAATAACACACAGCACTGCCACCACCACATCGATTTCTTAATGGATCTGTCGATCAAGTAACTATTCGTAATTATTGTAGATCTTGTTGGAAAAAGCTTCATAATTATATATTATAAAAGCTCTAAAATCATCCTATTATTTACTACTTGAGTGCTCACGTAGAAAGGACCATATTGGTTTTCCTACAAGCCCCCCCCAAAAAAAAGGCATAGTCATATTTTTGAAATTATGGCTTTAATTAATTGCTGCTTTCAATAAACTGTATAACTTACCTTCAATTTTTTCCAGAGGAATCTAATTCCAGTTGTTACCAGGAACTGCAGTTATCCGAATTTCAGACATGCTAAGTTGAAAGGAATGAATATATTCATATTTTATGACCAACGGTAACAATCTTCAAGTTTTTCAATCTTGTATTTATTTATAAAATCTCAAAAGTTTACAACGTCTTTTAAACTTTCATTGCAGTTGTGCGAAATTCGCCCTGTCTAATGAGACCCTTCATTAAATGGATAATGTTGAATTCTAGAAAAAGTTTCTCTTGATGGACAACATTTTAAATTCACTATCCTTCTTTTGACTATATTCTCCTTCAACTAAAACCGTTAAAGCTAAAACATTACAACTAAAACCAAATGAAACTTCAACTAAATTATCATTTGAATGCCGGAAATTATTCTTCGAATTAAGATCGTTAGAAGGATTGTACAGAGCGCCTTGATCGTTAACTTTGAAATCATAAAGAATTACATAATTAAGTGATATATTAAAAGTAGAGTATGGGCCAACCGTTGCATACGAGGAAGACACATACAGGTTTAAGAAGCACTTTTTGCTTTGAATAAAGTTGATGTTCTAATTTCGAGATGGGTTAAAAACTAGTAACTTTCCGCAGGTTTCGAGTTATAATAATCATTTTTGAGGGCTTTTAAACTCATCCTTTCGTTTCGAATTTTTACATCCAAAATACTCATTAGCTTCAACAGCTGACAAATTAGCAGCTAAATAAAAGGAACGAAAAATGAGATATGCCATTAATGTAACTGCTATTATTGTTGGTTAGCTGTTGCGACTGTTCCTGTAGTAAGTTTAGAGTGTCAATTAGGGTTTTCGTAACCGTTCTCACTTTAAAGTGGATTCAGACAATAAGGCAGGGGTGGAACCAAAGGAGGGAATCAGAAGATTCTCTTGGAAAATGAATCTTGCTTTAACTTATCTGTGTCCGAAGACCATCGCATGCTCTTCTTATCATCAGGAAGGCTAAAGCAACCACAATCGAGGAACTCGGCAGAAAAGTGAGAACGTCAGGACTGTGTAACGCAGTTGAGCAAAGCAATAAGGGGCTAACTAACGCAGAGAAGAAGGTCAGGAGAACCTGGTCGAAGAGTTACATAGCTTGGTAACTGAAGTTTAAGTTCAATTTAATTGAGTCCGTAATCTTAATGATTTTGTATGTAGTCAATTCTTCTTCCCACATTATATATATACCACGTATTTATTTTGTAATTAATTCATTCATTTGTTTGTTGCCATCTTCAAAATATGCAATACTTTTTAATAAAAATTAGTCCCATCACATATTATTAAAAAAGAGCTAAATTTGATTTTGTCCAGTTATTAAATTTGCTGCATCTCTTCACGCGTAATCTGTATCTTTATCTGTACCACTTTTATCAATGCTCATTTTGATTACTGATAAAAAATTTAGTAAAAATTAGTCTTAATACACATGATTCATTTGAATCGACTGAGCATGATCTTTTCTAGTTATTAAAGCTGGCTTACCACTTGCATCTGCAATACTAATTTTGATTAAAAAGAAATTCGATAAAAATGAGCAGTATTAAAATGAAATTTAACTTGACTTTCTCCATTTATCAAAGCTGGTTTATTACTTGCATTTGTAGTGTTTTCTTTAAATAAATTTCAATAAGAAAAGCCAATTTCAATAAAATGAACTGAACTTGGAACTTTTTTGCAATTATTAAAGCTGGCATATCTCTTGCATCTGTAATGTATATTTTCACTGAATATTTATTCAATAAAAATGAGCCTTAAAAGACGCGATTAGAAGGAAATGAACTTGATTCCGGTTATTAAAGCTCTTACATCTCTAATAAAGTATCCTAGTTACATTCTTGATGATGGTATGATGTCACTCAACGATTCGTCGCTTCAGTCTTTAACGCACAAGCAGGGGCCAGAGCTAGTGCAATCGGTGCAGTGGCACTGGGCGGTAAAACTTTCAGAATTTAGAGACTTAAGATGCAGCAAAATTTAGGGATGTCAAAATTTTTAGAATTTAGAGGAGGCAATGGGTAGCAGAATCTAAGGGCTACAAAGCTTTTAGAATTTAGATAGATGAGGGAAGCAGAATTTAGTACCCACATATGTTGCACAGGGAGCAAAATGCTTAACACCAGCCCAGATGAGAGTGTTCGCTATAACTGAAACAAAGGTAATAATTACTTCGATCAGTTGTTTTCAGTTGTGTGCTGAAGATTGTTTATAAAGGCGTTGCGAAATATTCCAGTATTTTTACTCAGACTGCATGGATTTAAAATTGAACGACTGATGTGTTTGTGGGATGACAGAAAACACATCTAATCTGTTAAAATAACCAATTGTTTTTCTTTTCGATAATAATACGAATATTAGACGGCTGTTTGTTCCATACTTAATACAATCTATTAAATTTTGCATTATTTTAGTTATTCTCATGCAGAGTAGGGAAAGCGGTTATTCCTCAGGCCGTTGGCCAACAATATGAACAGTCTCAGCAAGATGGCATAAAATCACGAGCTTGGCGGTTTCACTTGGCCAGCTGGGAGATACCTTGAGACGAAACTTCATTGGCCCAATATGGGTGGGTTGGAGTAAGTCCTATGTAAGACCAGTGCGGCTTCAGACTTCCCGCGTAGTACTGGTGGGTAGCATTTTCGACGATCAGTCAGATCTCCAAGTGTTCATTTCCCCGCCACTATGATTCCTGCAAGCCGGGAGTGGGGATTCCTGACGGCCAGGATCCTTGCTCGCGGGTGGTAGCAGTGCTTATAGAGCAAATTTTTAATTAAGTCTGTCTTCTCGGATTGGGGTGCCTAGCGGCTCTGAAGTACATTAATACGGACCCGGTTCCTATGATCAGAAAAGGCAGCCAATGATGTCTAGGATGGTCGTGGCTTCGGCCATCCGAGTGGACTAACGTGATGGCCAGAACTGCGGTTTTTCAATAGGCTTTCCCACTCTTCGACGTCTCCGTGCGCCTGGGAGTGGTGACATCGGGATGCCGGTGTAGCGAAAGGGTGCTAAGAGAGAGTCTGAATTTTTAAAATACCGCCGCAATGGAATGGGATCGCTTTGCGAGCGGTTTATGAGTACGAATCGAGGACTCCCTTTTCGGGAGCTTTTTGACGATGTCCACCTCGAGTAGTCATTGTAAGCCGTCCGGTTGCCCGGTCCTGCTGCCATATGCCTAATACGGAGAGAAGAGCACATGTATTTTACTATAAAGTTTCCACTGATCGACTTATCTCGCCACCGTTTGTAACAAGATTTGTAACGGATATTGCCCCCTCCCAGAGAGTATTTCTCTAAAAGGAGATTTATCTCATCTAACTTCTGTGTGTGCGGCAAGGCTGGTACTCCAGACCATTACATAATAGCATGTCCATTCACAGAGGCGTGGCACATGCGGCTGCCAGTTGATGATGCATCATTCATGAGGAGCTTCTTCATTAAGCAACCTGCTCTACTGAGGAAACAGTGTAACGTCTGCATAATGTAAAGTATAATGTTATAAGGTATTTCTCCCACCTTCCTATGGTTCCTTCGTGGTGTAGTGGTTCTGCATGCTGGGCCGGTTTTCCAGAGGTTCGTGGTTCGATTCCCGGCAAAAATCCTAACGTCTTTACAATGTCCGAATCAGTACTTTGTATTTGTGTAGTATGTAGTAATTTATTTAGGCCCTATGTGTAAACTGTTTTGTATTGGTATTTAGTATTTGTGCCTGCATTCGTATTAAAATATGGATAGTATGCTCAATATCTGTGTAGTTTATATAGCACAGTTTAATAGTTGTGTATTCGTATCAAATATCTGTGTAATAGTGTAATTAGTACCTGTATACATGCTTTCTTTCGTAATTTATCGTATCTGTATATCTGCATTAGTATTTGTATATCTTCGTAATGTCTTGCTTTAGTTTTTGGAATATGTGTCTGCATAGTATCTGTGTAGCAACGTGTAAAAGGTATAGTCTGGTGCCTTTATCAGCATATGTAACATCGTAATAAACTCTCCATTCCTTTTTTGTGGGGGGCGCCGCGGGTGTTGCACTAAACAGTTGCGGGATCCGGACAATACCTGATTAGTCTATGTAAGCCGCCCGGATGTCCGGACCCGCTTTCACCTGTCAACTGCCTAATAGGGAGCTGCAGGGTTCATGCGTGTAGTGCCTAACATCGAGATGGCAGAACACGAAATTTAAATAGACTTATGCATAGTTATCGATCATTTAATCGGCATTTGATGTTTCTATATACACTGGTGCCTTTGCTGCCTTAATTTACTAAAAACTGGAATTATATACCTCTTCTACGCATGGGAAAGGAAAAATTAAAAATTGAAAAATTAAAAAAGCTACCGAGGGAAAAAGTTTGAATTGAAAAGTAATAGAAACTTTATTAAAAAGTCTCCTTAATTTAATCTACAAAGTGAACTAAATAGGAAAAATATATTTTTCAATTACTGAAGTACCCTACAGAAATATTTTCCTTATTAACTAAAGATAAAATCGCAAGGCTGGTAACAATTACGAATTTTAAATGAAAATTGTCAAAGAAAATAGCTAATTCCTTCTCCCACCTAAGTCAAAATCTATCAACTTTCACCAATTGTTTCTATTTAGATCCTATTGAACATCGATGATTGTTCAGTTTAATTAAAATAGTTTTAAACTTTAAATAAAATAAATCACTTTGCTGGTTTTACTATCTTTTTCGATTAATAACTACGAGAAGCCGTTTGATTTTTTTTATCTTTGATCGTTGGATGGTTTTGAAAGTATAAAAAAGTAAAAACTTTCCATAGTTGTAATAATATGCATATTGACCTTTAGAAAGGATATCTTTAGAAAGGAGGTCAAAAACAAATGCTATTCAATTCCTGTTCAGTACAACAATTGAAGATCTATTTCATTTATAAAAATATCAAACTTAAGTCTACAGTTTGCTAATTAAAATGCTTACAGATCTTCATTCTCATATTTTTCTCTTTGTTTTAGAGAAGAAAGAAGACATATGACTATATACTACGTTTCCGTAGATCCAAAGCCATCATATGATCCTTTCAGGGAAAATCATTCTATTTTCGGAGGCAAACTTCGCATTTTGTTCAACGTGACTTACGCAAATGATGTTGATTCACGCTCAAGTCACTAGGGAAATCATTTGTGCGGAATGTTCCATTTGTGGCTACACTGGGCTTCATTACGACATGATGGCATACGGAAAAAGCATAGCACTAGCCTTCCCTAAGCAAAAAGCAATATTATAGAAAGGTTAATCTGTTTCTTTAGAATAACGGCATTTGGTTCGGTTCTTTGAAATTTTAGACAAAATTCCAACAATATTTTTTTCTTATAGGTAGAATAAAAGAATTTGAACTATTAAACCTATACCAAAATGTAGAATATTCAATTAGAGACCGAACTACATAGCAGGGATATGAGCGCATTTCTATGAAAATACTTTATACGTCTTTCCTCTTCGAAATTTTGCAGAAAATATATTTTCAGATGTAAAATAACCATTCGAAGATTATCATAACTTCACTATAAATATATTTTAGGTACATCTTTATATACGATGATATATTCTTAAATGAAGTTTCTAAATTAATTATACTTGTAGAAATTAAACATATTTGTAGCCGTATGTTGTAATATTTTTTTTCGATGAAAATGTGTAGGAAAATTGATACAGTATTTTTCGGACAAGTTACAGGTAGAAGTGGGAGGGTCACCTGAATTTTCCCATTGGTTGTACAGTATAGTCCTACTGCACTTATTGCACATTTTCGCCCCAAATTTGAGGGAGTACACCCCAGGAAATAAGGTAGATCATTTTACTTGGAAAAATCGACTTGGAATGCCTGAGAAGCTTTCACAAAAACTCCGGCACTCTTATGCAAATCGGCCAATGTACACTAACTCAAAATTCTCAAAGGTGCTCATACTATAAATATTTAAAAACCTAAAAAGATCAGTTTTTAGTTCTAAAAAGGCGGCCAGCCTTCATGAGTGCCCCAGTATAATTGTGTAAACTCGATACATTAATTAAAAAAGTAAACTAAAATCTTATTTTCATAAAGGTTCCGGGACACTTTTATAAAGGACTTTATCTCTCTTTGTCTTGTTTGACTAACCTACATGAGAGTTCCGGGTTCCGGTGCTCTCACGCAAAGATCCCCTTGCTCTAAAAATGAGCGATACATAGTTAAGTCAAGATTTTTACGAAATTTTTGGGAACTTCTACTGAAATCCCAAATTTACAGACTTCTTCTGCGAGAGCCCAACAGTCGGAGAAACTGTAAAGCAACAGATAATCCTTGGGCTAGGACAAGATAATTTACTTTCTCTTAGCCTTGTAGCAGTGTGATAAATTTTCGATGAAGATATTTTCTTTCCTTCTTTAGAGGGAATATGCCTGTGATGTATTCCTGTTTCAAAAAAAAATTACGTCTATGGCGCTCTTTAATATACCAACAACAACAAAAAAAAAAAAAAAAAAAAAAAAAAAAAGCTCGAACTTAATTATTTACTTTTTTTCAAATACATCAGATCAGTTCAGAAAAGTACAGCAATGTAGTATAAAGAAGAGAACTTCTTCTAATAATGACTCGAGAGTAACTTGCCAATATTGAGAAATACGACATGAGCAATTACAAAGAACATAGCCATCCAGACGATACGATAGTTAGTGGCACTAAATTGGGTCGGATTCGAATCCCGGAGAAAGCATGGATGTTTGTAAATATAGAATGTCTGTACGGCATTGGAACACTCAAAGTGTACGGTGAGCCGAAAGTCCTCTCGAGTGATTTAGTGGTACGGAAAAAAGGGTTGGAAGAATCTCGAACCCGTCCCCTCGGGGTGTTGTCCTTCAACATTGGAGCAGATCTGCGCAAACTCGTACTGTAACCTCAAGGCTCTTGTTCAGGACAGTCACTCCTTGCCACGATAAGTTATGTGGGCAGGGCCTGACTTAGCCTACCTGGGACCCGGGGCAAAAACTTTTTGGGGCCCCCCTCCGCTTCACTACTTCCAGTAATGAACAAGCGAACTTTTGGAGATATTTAAATTTTTATAATAATAAACTTTCTATTCGATTTGGGGGCCCAGGGCAACTGCCCCGTATGGCCCTGGCTTAGTCAGGCTCTGTAGGTGGGCTTGTTCTGATTAGGTCAGACAAGCAAGATTAGCCACCACAAAAACAAAGAACATAAGATTACCGATGAAGGAGAATTGCACAGCCTTAAGCCAAACGTTCTCAATAGTCACTCGGCAGTTTTCCTTTCTTTTTATCGCCAAAGTCCAAATTCAAACGTGAGAGAACAGCAAAATCCCTCCAACCAGTCCAACCTCAATGTGAGAGTAATATAGCTTTTTGGGAGGGAGAGAGGGGGAGTTACCTTAATAAAAATCATGTTCGAACTATAAATATTTTAGATTAATTAATGTTTTTGAGGGCACATTTGGTGCTGTATTAAGCTTAATGCTTCCAGGTAGTCGACTGTGTAAATATCGAAGTAGTCGACTTCTGAATATAGCACATACAACTTTATATATCTCAAACATAAAATATTTTTAGAACTGTCTTATAAGTAACGCACTAGCTGATTCTGAAGACGTGTACTTTCAGGGTTGCGACAACACTGGAGAAGAGAGGAGAGCAATTAAATATTCTTGATACAAGTTACGTTAATGATAATTAAAGATTAAGAGTTTGTAAGTACTTTTGTATAATAAAACAGAATGAGCCCTATCGAAAACGACCATCTACTATTCTATAGGATTTTGGTCTGTTAGAGAGTTCAGACAGCTGATGTTCAGTAACCATGTTTTGCTGCATTCTCAGAAACACTGGTCACTTTTAGAGGTAGTCGTTTTGGAAATTCCACCTCGTGGCAGTCCGGCATCTACACTTTACTATGGATTTTGGTTTAACGATCTGGGTTGGTTTAGAAATGCAGAGGCTTATCACAGAAATTGGTCGTCATAAGAGAGTTCATTACCTTTCTTTAAAAATTTTCGGCTGCGTCGTACCTCCTAATAATAAGATATATATTCTCATATTGTGTTCTTTAACAATGACTGATTATTTATTAATGGGCTACGTTATCTAATATTTATTCGTTTAATATAATGTTTACTTAAACAAAACTAAACTAGTAAATATTTCAAACTGAAATTTCAATTTAAATCAGATTCTATATGCTTAAGCATAAAATATAGCAGTTGTAGCGTTAATAAAAATAGGGTGCTAGACATGCATAAACATTCCTAAATGACTGGAATAATATAATAACAGAAAAAATTCAGTTCTTACATAAATGTCAAGGTTACGTTATTTATAATATTTCGTCTTTTGAGTTTCCAAGTTCCTCGCATTTTACTTATTTTATTTTCAAGTGTTTACGAAAACAATCTGATCTTCCTGAAATACTTTATATTGATTATTTGCCTTTTAATACAACATTGTTTTAAGTCAAAAATTATATATTCTTATAATATTAATGTAAACCGTTGAATCTGAAATTTATGCTTTCCTAATATAGATACAGAAGTAATCAAATATATGTCATTTAAACTCAGAATATTTATAAGTTTAAAAATGTGTTTTGTTTCATGTTAAATTAGATTATATAAATAAATTACGTTATAACAATATGACCTACAGAACATAAATATTTTAAGATATTTAATCTATAGAAATAAAGAAAGAAGACTTGAATCATTTTTGTACAAAATTTAACTCGATGTCAGTATAAAAGATAAAACAAATACAGGAACAAAATTGAGTATTTTACCTGCAATAGAGTGCTAAGAGAAAAATGCTTCGAGGATCGGCTGCGAATGCGTAACGAACTTCGCACCAAACCCAAACTATTTTCTCTGCAGGAGCATCCGCCGCATCTTACCTGAACGGCAGCCAATCAAAGTACAAGTACCTTTTACGCATGCTCTGATGAGAAAGCACTATATGCGCAACAGGACCAGCTTCTGTGATGCGCAAGTTAAGTAAACTTCATTGATCCGTTCTGTGCTTTAGATTTATCACTGAACAGTGGTGCTGCTGCTAATGGCATGAAGAAAATTATAGTCTGGGTCGTAAAGCTCAAGCAAAATTTCGACCTGGTTCGTGATATGCATTCGTCGTTGCTTTTTAGGACTTGAATGTTTATTTAATCAATTAAAACAATCCAGACTTAAGCGTAATGACGGTTGATTCCATTTGAGAGAACGAAGGGAGGGTAAAGTTAAATGACTCATTTCAGAAGGGGTAGTCAGAGCAATGAATCAAGTATTTGGAACTAAATCTTTCCACTTTTAAAATCGAACTACTTGCTCTTGTAGAAATATCTTTATCATATCTCCTAAGATATATATTCATCTAAAGCCAATTATAAAATGTATTTCTAAGTTTCTTTGTATGTTTGTTCTCTTCTATTCAGTTTGAGGAAGCCAAGATAACAAAATGGTATGGATCTTTTAGTTTAAAATTATAACAATCTATTGCAGACTCAAATGAAACAACGTACTTATTCAAAAACTATAGCTTTAAGAAATAATTAGCTGTAGTACAGTGCTGATTAAGTTCGTAAAGCTATGCCATTTACAGCGAAGCCGTGGTGCTGAAAATTGATACAAAAATAATGCGCAAAAAAACTAATTAATGTTGTTAAATAAAAGATAAGTAAAATCTGAAAGCTTTCAGATTTTATATTACCCCAAAGGAACTTTTTCAACGTTTTGTGTGTGATCTTTATTAATTAAATATCATGCTCTTCGCACTTAAATCATAAAATTCATTTCAACAGCAACAGCACAAAATATTATAATTCCCGATTTCCAGCTTCTCACGCTGTAGAGAATTTTTTTTTTTTTTTTTTTTTTTTTGTACAGTGTTGCCATTGCTAGCTTTGAAATCTTGAATTTATTAACCAAAAATTCGTTAAAGTTTTACAAAATATGAAACAGATAATAAGGAAAGATTAAAACTCAATAGAATGAAATGGTGTATCATGTGTATTAAAAACATGTTTTATCCATCATAGATCAAATGTACTTTTTTAATGTTAAATAACGCAAGCTTTTTGTTTTCTTTTTCATCATGCTGCTCACATGTAAATGGCAATGGATTCTTTATTTTCTTGCAGAAATTCTCATTTTGTGAAATTTCTTTTACAACACCTAACTTATTTTATTTTATTTTTATTAAGTTGCTTTTTCTATTTGTTTGCTTCTTTTGGTTTCTTTTATTTTTTTGCAAGTGTGATATTCAAATCTGTTCCTTTGACATGGAAGACTTATTCGTGTTTCTGAATTTAATTAATCATGTTTTAGTTCAGATGTAATTTAATTAAAAAAAGTATTTGTTTTAAAGCAAAATAGTGTTTCTTACAAAATTTATAAATCCATAACAAAATTATTTCAAACTGCACATAAAATAAGGGGAATAAAAATTTTATTGATAGGAAGTGCCCAAATGGTTATTCTGTTCGTTCTGTTATTGCTATACTTACGACAGGATTTTGTTTGTCAGAATAAATTTATTCAATTATATTTCGTATTCATTTTGATGCTAAGAGTAAGATGACAGCTAGATGGATACTGATTGCTATTTATTTGTGTTAATTAACAAACTTATGATATGATCCATATGCAGTTATCTTTATCATATATTGTGATCCCCCAGAATGAACAAATAGAAATAAAATATCTCCTGCTTTTTCTGTTGATTCAGTATGAAATTATATAACAATACAATTTTGTAAAATTTTATTATAAGCCCAAAAGGGACGTAAGTCCCGAATAGGATATTAGTCTCAAAACGACATTTTGCGTCGAAAAACGTAAAAGCGTTTTATCACTTTTCAGATTGTTGCCACCAAATATTAAAGCCATTACAAAAATAAAGAATCTTCATGAATGTATGTATTTTTTTCGCACTGTGAAAAACAGCGATACCTATAGCCAACAAATTTTGAATAACATAGTTCTCCACCGAATATGGACATCTGGAAGCCCAAATTTTGAATTTCAAATTAATTTTATTATCTACTTCATATTTGTAAAATTTTAACGAATTTTGATTAACAAATTAATTTTAAAGCGAGCAGTGGTAACACTGTACGGAAGAAAACATTTTTATCTTCTGCGCGCGGGACTCTCTATCGGAAATTCTATAGATATTCTATAGATATGCTGTTTTTAAATATTTTGTGATTTTGCTGTTGAATAGAATTTTATGTGGCGTAATTGACAAGCGTGATCTTTTAAAATTATTATAAATAGGTTGTAATAAAAAAGAAAAAGTTTTGAAGCCTTAGTAAAGGATACTGAATATTGAATGATAAACTGCAAAATATGAAAAAAAAAAAAAAAAGAAAGAAATTGTTGCTCCACTTAAGCTGCATATTCTAAATGTATATTGCTACGCTACTTTCAGTGTTTATAATTTTTCTGTTGGACTGTTATAATTGCGAAGAAAATGAAGCAAAAATTTCATCTCTTGCTAAATTTAAACACTGCCAAAATCTAGAAGTTCTTCCACCTTTAGTTGCAACTTTGACAAGGAACCATGCGTTCTTCCTCTCGCTGAACATTCCCCTCATGGACCCGACCCACCCTTTCACAGTTGACTGCAGAGACTCAGATCTTGTCCACATGCCAATTCACCATCTGCAAATAGATCCTCCAACCAGACGGAGAAAGGCACCCGCAATGAAGGGCACGCGCGTGCCAATTCTTCAGTGGTCAAGGTTTCCAGGAGACATTTTGTCTGGGTAAGCGTGTCAGAAGTCTAGCCACCCCCCAAATCACGCACCAAAGTCTACCCAGATTGGCCTGTCAGAATTAGTCAGAAAAACTGTTTTCGGTTGAGTTTTTTCATATCTGATCTCCATAGGTGCAAACGTGGATGATCTTTTTATTTCTAATTCGATACGAACAGATTTTTATCGTCAAATCCGCTTAAGTAGCAATGTCTTTCAGAAAGCTGTTTCAGCTAAACAATAAATAAGAAACTGGTCTTATTAATGATTGTAAAATGAAATTCGTGCACATAATCACTTATATTGCCAGAATTGAAAATGATCTTTTTTTTTCCCCCTCCTTTGAAAATAAGAATATTTTTTAACATTTCCGACATTCACAAGGATCTTAACCGTGGGCTTTATTTATAATTCAGTATTTTTATTTTGATTCATAAAGCCATGAACATCCTAGAAATAAATCAGTCAGTCCTTCAGAAGTTTCCTAGTTTTAGCTTATTATTGTATGCATCTTATTGATTTTCAGTGCAATAAAGGTTACTAAAATAACATTTTAGTAATTGTTATTACTAAGTAATTGTTAGTAATAACAATTACTAAAATAACTAGCAAATGTCATCTAGTAATAACTATAATTACTTCATGTCATTACTATTAGTTATTACTAAAATGTTATTATTAATAGGATTATAACCTTTGTTAAAATATTTAACGCTTTAACTCAAATGTATTAGTATCCATTAATCTTTCGATTTCTCGAAATTACTGGAAGGGTACAATGTACATTTACAATTACATATAGGCTCGGTTACAATTACAGTTACATAAGTATAGGACAAAAATGTCGCCAAATGGCGACTTTTGTAGATACTTCGCCCGATTTGGCGAAAAAATTAGCCGCCGAAAATATTGCCATATTGGCGCTATATCGCCAAATTGGCAAGATAGCCATGGACCTCAATGCTAAATGGACCTACCTTCTGTAATCTTATTTTTCCGACTCAGCTTTGCTCTCTCGAGGCATTTCATGTTACATTATACATGTGCAATTTTAAATATAATTTCACTAATATTATTCACATATTTGCAAAATTCATAACACTATAATACAAATCCTTTTTCCTCTTCATCTCTACAACTTGATCAAATTAGTACCTTTGGAAAGTTATTCCTATTGACTATTTCTCAAATATACTACATAAAATCATATTAAAGTTTAATAGTTTAAGTTTCCAAATTAAAGTAGAAATAAGCGAAAAGTACTTCATGGTATATTCGTGGTTGCCATCAAACGGATCGTGCCTTTGCAAGTTTGCTATTCCACGCGGCATACGTTCTGCGTAGTCTCGCAAATTGTTAGTTCTCAGCGGTTCTGCCATTTAGCGTGGCACAAAATCTGTAACTCAAGGTCTTAAAATCAGCACCATCTAGGAATATATAAAAAATGCAACTCATGAACATGAAAAAGCACTTATCATGACATGATACAACCCACTTCTATTGGACAAGCATGCATATCCTACCAAAACTCCATTACCATGAAAAATCTATAATTAATATTTCTCAAATTCATATTTAAGGTTCAATAAACTGCATTTTAGATCTTAAATTACAGATCTTCACGTACAGATGAGACACTCCAAGGTTGCCTCCTCCAACCCGCGTCATTTGCAGAAAATTAAGCATATTGGAACATTAAATCAAGTAAAAGGCGGGGTGAGGATCTGAGGTTTTTGGTACAGTAAAAAAGCATACGATTAGAAAGGGTCATTGAAAAGACTCCAATCAGTTTCAAACGATTTTGTTATTATATGGAGGGGGCCGCCTTAGATGATACTGATGTTTATTTATGGTCTAAGAAATACTGCTCATTATCACAGGTAATCGTATACAGGAAATGGTCACCATGAAAGGTTTCACTGTAATTATAATGAAACAAAATATAAATAAAATCCATATATTATCATTAGGTTATTTTGAGGCTAGAGACATGAAAAATGAGCAGTGTCTTCGACCTCTCGACTACGATCTGAGTGTACTACCATTACACCACGAAGGCAATCAGAAAGCAGGGGAAAATACCTTATATACTTCCTCTTTTAACGGGTGACTGGGGATAAGGAGACCCAATCGCCAAATCCTGGTGGTGAAGAATCATCATCCACCACCTTTTTAGTTCGAACGCCACT